AAGAGCCACTGCCTATCAGAATAGACGACACTGACCTTAATAGACTAACGGTCGAACTCAGTAGAAGGCAGCTTAAATTAAGGTCTCTGGCTCCATGGAAGAGCATCTGCTTTGCAGGCAGAAGCTCCCGGGTTCAATTCTGGCATCTCTTGTTTTACTAAGGATCAGGTAGTAGGTAATAGGAAAGGCCTCTGCCTGAGAGACCCCAGAGAGCCACTGCCAGTCACAATAGTCCGTGCTGAACTTGGTAGCCCAATAGTGTGACTCAGCAGAGGGCAGCCCTAGGTGTTCATGAGCTGTGCCCTTTGAACCTCTGCACAGTCTTCATTATGTCTTTCTTTCAGGATGCAGAAGTGAATTCGAATTTGGTCCACCTCCCATCAACCACTGCAAGTGCTGTGAAGGAAAAGGATGACAGCGTTTACTGCCAGCCTGAAATACTTTGTGAAGGTGAGAGGCCATTCTTCTGGAGGGAAATTTACCACATTTTCTTAAACATCATAATCTGAGTCCCCAGATCTGCGGGCACTGCTGGTTCCCTTTCCCCTGGCCCATTGGTTGGAGGGTGAAGGTGTGTCTGCACCATGTTCCCCTTGTGAGGACAGTACCCTCCTATCGCACAGTGTCCAGATGTCGAAGGTGCTACACAAGGAGAAGTCCCAAGTTTGAGCCACTAGCTGTCTGTTCCTACTACAAGCCTTGCAAGATTGAGCTCTGTGCTTTTCAAGGGCGCTACCTAAGCTGCACTACCAGGGCTGCCAGCAGAATGCCTGCTTTGTTCTGCTGATTCCAAAGGATCGATCCCTGTCCATCAGGCTGTATAAAGCCCCAACTCCAGATATGGATCCTCAATTTGAGCAACTTGACACCATGGAAGAGATTGTGGTCTATTCTGCATCTAGCATTTGCTCCGCTGTTTTACCAAACATCACAATCAACAGCATTGATATTACAGTCCTTCAACAGCTTTTGTACACTTTGCACATTCCTATGAGCAAACTTTACATGCCATGTATAGAAACAGTCCTTGTGATCACACATGCAGATGATTTTGTATGGTACACTGGCCCACTAGTGTCCATTTTCATCATCACTAGCAACAACGATGTCTCTTAGATAATGAAAATTTCCATGTTCCTCTGGCGCTTTTCCAGAGGGACGCTGGAACAGAAATTCCCCTCTGCATGGCATGCCACTATCACTTTGATTGATTGTCAGATTTTATGGCAGTGTCTGCATGCCACTTTCACTTCATTTGATCTCTTGGTGTTATGGTTACTGTCTGCATGATTTATGGCCATTTTATGGCCATTCAGGGGTAACTTTGCAGTTACTATGGCATTGGCCCTGGGTATTTGAATGTGGTTTTGAGCCACATCTTTTTCTGTTCCAGTATGGGTTTGGTAAAACAACAAAGTGAATGCTAGATGTAGAATGGGTCTATGTCTGTCTAAGTCTCTTCTCTTTTATGACTGGTTTCTGGAATTTGATCTCCTGTCTGTGGCCCTTCTTATCTCAGCTGCTGTTAGAACTTGACCCTTTATTACATTGGACAGTACTCCTTGCATCGGACAGTACGCCTTGCCAGAGTGACTGCCAGTCCCCCTGATACCTACTACCCTGGAGGCATAGCAAGATCCCTGGATGTCTGTCCCTATACCTGTGGGGACTTTAGTGTTTAAAAGTGGGAGCCCTCCTCCGCATCCTGAAGTTGGAAAAAGTCGAGGAAAAGTTTTATAGGACTGGGACTAAATACCTTTATTGGCATACAATATTAGAAGCAATTCCCAATATTAATAAAAGTTTTATAGCGGTGTCTGCAGCCTGTGACTCTGGAACCAATATCTGGGCACTTTCACACATGCTAAATAATGCAGTTTCTCCACTCCAGTGACCATTTGCAAGTAGATGCTGCCATTTCACACAGTAAAATCCAGTTGCCAAGTGCATTGAAAGTGGATTGAGAGAGTGTTATTTAGTGTGTGTGTGAAACCACCCAAATGTCACTCAGTCTGGAACCAAATATGGTTCTTTCACAAAAACAACCAAATCTTTAAGATATAGTGGAGGGGGAGATGGAGTGTTAGAACAGTGGGATGCTACAATAACCACTAGGTCATGGGAGGACAAACTGTGGCTCAGGAGCCACATGCGACTCTTTCACACATATTGTGCGGCGCCCAGGAGGGTGGCTGGGGAAGCAAAGGGGAGGCATGCCTCCCCAATCGTTCTTCCCTTCCCCAGCCAGTGTTCCCCTCCCTGGGTAGGCCTGAGGTGCGGGAGGGAGCAGAGAAAGAAAGCAATTTTAAATGCATTCTCAACGCCCCCCGCTCCTCCAGCTGGCTTGGAGAAGGCATTTATCTCTTTAAATCCTTTCTCCAAGCCAGCCAAGGAGGAGGGGGTGGGGTGGGGGGCTTGGAAGACATGTTTAAAGTTAAAGTTGCTTTCTTTCCACTTCTCCCTTCCTCCTCATCTATATGCTTTCTTTGTTTTCTCTCCCTCTCTCTTTCCCCCTCCCTTTCTCCCCATCTATTTGCTTTCTTTCCACCCTTCTTTCTCTTTTTCTCTTTTTTCTCTTTCTCCATTTCTTCCTTCCTTTCTTACTCTCTTTCTTCCTTCCCTCCCCCTCCCTATCTTCCTTCCTTCTTCCTTCCTTCCTTCCTTTCTTCCTCTCTCTCTCTCTTAGACAAATAAATATCATTAGCAAACAAATATAGTTGGACAAATAAATATCTATCAATACCTGTTTTTACCCCTTTTGTTTTTATTTTTGGCAGTCTCATTTAATGTTAGTAAAAAGCAATTTTTTATATTTTCCAAAAAAAAGTGTGTGTAATATTTGTTCATATCTTGCGGCTCTCAAACATCTGACATTTATTCTGTGTGGCTCTTGCATTGAGCAAGTTCGGCCACCCCTGCACTAGGTGAAGGGAATAGAAGGCAAAAAAATAATAATTATGGGACTACAGGGCTTCTTGGAGATGCTTGTCAGAAAGAGAGATGATAAAAGAAAGCAGTTGCCTGTAATCCAGGTGTGAACCATGTGCACACTTATGCCAGTGCATCAAAACAATCATGCAGGGGTGCTCATCATCTGTATACCTGGAACTTACTGTAAGACCTCATGTGTGCCACTTTCTGATAAAAGACTTGCAACACTCAGCATTTAGGCTGCAGAAAATGATACGGATTATTAATCATGTCAATTATCTGTAATGCTGAGTTGTACTTTTTTGGTTATGCGGATGGACTGCCTTATACTGGCTGTTTGTTGATCTCTTCTGACGTTGGTTGGCACTTCTAAGTGTACAAAGTTGCAGACGTGTATGGTTCTGCCACTTGTGGGAAACTGGCTCTGAGTTACCACAAACTTTGACAGACTGGTGCCTGCTTGATTCTATCTGCTGTGTTGTTTGCCCTGGGGAATGCCCACTGAAATGATCGGGAACTCTGCAGAAGAGTGATTTTGGAGGGGAGCCCAGCCACAACCCAGGTCCAACTCCTGCTCATGCCCAATGAGCTTGCAAAACAGGCAGTCTTGATGCATTGTTTGTACCTTTAAACATATAGTAGCCGTGCCTTTATTTCTACCATCACCCCTTGGTATTTATGAGCTTGGTTTCCTCCCCCCACCCCCTTCGCCCACAGGAATAGAACTGCCTCGCATCAACTATGATTATAATGGAAGAAAGTACAGATACATCTATGCAGTGGAGGTGAAATGGACTCCAGTTCCCACACAGGTAGGATATTTCCAGGCGTGCTTCCTGTTAGAATAGGGTGTTGTACAATACTATAAAGGTAAAGGTTCCCTTGCTCGAAAGCCAGTCGGATCCGACTCTAGGGTTGCGGTGCTCATCTCCGTTTCAAAGCCGAAGAGCCAGCGCTGTCCGAAGACGTTTCCGTGGTCATGTGGCCGGCATGACTAAACACCAAGGCGCACAGAACGCTGTTACCTTCCCACCGAAGTGGTACCTATTTATCTACTTGCAATTTCTTGCTTTCGAACTGCTAGGTTGGCAGGAGCTGGAACTAGAGACAGGAGCTCACTCCGTCATGCGGCACACTCGGGTCTCAAACTGCTGAACTACCGGCCTTCCACAGCCTGCAGTTCAGCGTCTTAACCACTTGAGCCACCGCAGCTCCTTTGTACAATTTTATTTATTTATTTTTCTTATATTTATTTATCCTTGGATTTATATCCCGCCCTACCCCGAAGGCTCAGGGCGGCTGACAAGGGCACAATGTGCCAAGATTATAACAATAAAACGCATAGTATAAAACAATAAAATCCAATAACAAATTTACAATACAAATTTAAAGAAAGATGGGTAGATCTTAAACCCAGCGGTAGCTTCCTGAAATCTATCATCCACTTCGTGCCAATACTATACTATACTATACATGCATTATTTTTTTTAATTGCCATTAAGTTGCAGCTGACTTGTGGCAACTCCATAGGGTTTTCAAGGCAAGACATGGACAAAGGTGGTTGCGTAGTGACCCTGGACTTCCTGGTGGTCCAAATACTAATCAAAGCTGACCCTGTTTAGCTTCCCAGATCTGAGGAGATCAGGCTAGCCTAGGCCAGCCAGGTCAGGGCATACATGCCTGAGGCTGATTGATGTCCGTTACCCAATCTGACTTGATTGTTTTTAAATACGACTGGGCACATTTAATAACTCTGAGCCACAGTTTTTTGAGAACACTCGGACATCAACTGTGATGCCAGAGGTAAAGAAGGGCATGCATAACCCATGACTGTGCCCATCCATTTTAAAGGGATGTCACGCTCGCTGACCCTGAACCGCATATAGTCATGCAAAATGATGCAATCACAGCCTGAAGCTGTCTGGGGATGAATATTCCTGTCCTCATTTCAATGCCAATGGAGACATATGCCCTGCCCAGCAATGCAGATGTGGGCCACCCTTGCTGCCAAACGATGGGCTAAAACTGCAGCTGTGGCATGGGTCAGGTTTTATTCTTTTCCCTGTCTTGCACCCCCTTTACCGGATCACAAGGAGGGTTTCCCCCCCAGTTTCATAATGATTTTATTTGAATATCAGCAATATGCTTACAATTCAACAATGCAGTACCAAAGACTGTGACACAGTAATACATAGTAAAACAATCTCAAAACACTTGACTTATGTGAGCACTTCCAAAAATAAGCTTGAACAATCAGTACAGAAAAAAACACCTCTTTTGGCTATGAGCACTGAATGATCTCTTCGTTTTGAGCAATATGATCAATTACAGGAAACCACAGTTCCACAACATATTCTGGAGAGACCCTGTTAGTATACAGTTTGTCTAAAATGTTATCCATTATATAAATTTCCCATACCCTATTGTACCAAACAGAAATCGTTGGTACCTTTAGGTTTTTCCAAGAAGAAGCAATCGCCATTCAACCTGCTGTACAAAACATTGCTATTAAGTCACACAGAGTTAACAGAGGATCAAGTTTGCTCTTGTTCATTTCGTCCAGCTCCTGCACCCACAGAGCTCAGTGTGGGTGCCATAATTTTGAAAAATTAATTACATTGCTGGGCCAGGTCTCCCACCAGGAGAGAGGAGCTTCTGCCATGCCCACCCACCCCCAATATGTGATCTGCAGGCTTCATGTGTTCATGGGGGTGGCCCATATATAACTGATTTTATTCTGATCTCCACTTTTGTTCTACTGTGCCTGATAAAGGGAGCATTGGCTCTCAAAAGCTTATGCCCTGAAACACTTGTTGGTCTCTGAGGATCTACTGGACTCGAATTTAACTGATTTAATTCTGTAACCAATGTAACTCCCCACCCCCCACCCCATTTCTTTAGGAAACCGGGCAGACCACAGTTACAGAGGTATACTCTCTTTCACACCGTGCTTTTCTCCCCAGTGGGGCTGTGGTGGCTCAGAGGTTAAGATGCTGAGCTCCAGACTGGGAGGTCGGTAGCTCGGCAGTTTGAGACCCCAGTGCCGCATAATGGAGTGAGCTCCCGTCTCTGGCCCCAGCTCCTGCCAACCTAGCAGTTTGAAAGCAAGAACTTGCAAGTAGATAAATAGGTACCACTTCGGTGGGAAGGTAACAGGGTTTTGTGTGCCTCTGCATTTAGTCATGCTGGCCACATGACCACGGAGAAGTCTTCGGACAGCGCTTCGGCTTGGAAACGGAGATGAGCACTGCCCCCTAGAGTCGGATTCAACTAGCTTTTGAGCAAGGGAAACCTTTACCCTTTTTCTCCCCAGTGGGGTTCCAAAATGTCTTATTCCCTCTGCTCCTCTACTTTATCTTCACAGCAACAACCCTGTGAGGTTGGGCTGAGAGAGAGTGCCCTAGCAAGCAAGGCCGCCTGGCAAGCTTCCATGGCAGAGTGGGGATTCAAACCCGGTTCTCCTGGTCCATACGCTAACCACTAGGCCAACTCTGGCCCTCGCACAAAATGAATTGTGTATGCACAAAGAATTTCAGTAGTCCCATATGATGGTATGAAGGCAGGGCAAAAAGAGCCGTTTGCAAAGTACATAAAGTTGCCAATGAAAGGTGCCATGGATCGAGCTGCCTAGGGCAGGTCTGGAACCCAAGGTCAGCAACGTCCGGCAGCTGCCCAAGCCCCAGAGCCTTGGCAGGGCCTGCTGGTATGCGGCAACTGTGTCAGCAGCCTGTTCTTCCTCACTGGGTGGTCACAGTGATGGTGGCATTGAGTCTTCCTGGAGGAATTATTCTCTCTGGGAAGATAGGGGGCTGCCCAACCCTTTCCTCTCTCTCGTCATCCATTCTGCTTTCCACTTCCTCCCCTCCTCTTCTGCCAGATAGTCAGGCCCGTTCATGTGAGCATCAATAGCTCCTGGGATCAGCAGCCGCTGTCCCCCAAAAGAGAAGGGCAGGCTGGTGACTGGCAGTTGCAGCAGTTGTTCGTTTAATACATGAATCAGAAGCAGAGGTGCTTTTCACTTTACATTTTCATTGTTCAGTTGGGTGTAGTGATTAGGTGCAAGGACTGTAATCTGGGAGAACTGGGTTTGATTCCCCACTCCTCCACATGCAGCTGCTGGTGTGACCTTGGGTCAGTTACAAGTCCTTTCAGAGCTGTTCTCTCATGAGCACTTCTCGAAAGCGCTCTTTCAGCCCCACCTACCTCACAGGGTGTCTATTGTGGGGAGGGGAAGGGAAGGAGATTGTAAGCCACTCTGAGACTCTGAGTGAAGGGCGGGGTATAAATCCAATCTCCTCCTCCTCCTCCTCCTCTTCTTCTTCTCTTCTTCTTCTTTTTCTTCCTTGTATGGGAATGTGGCCCACTGGACAGCATTTTGTGAGGTGCTCTCAAAAGCTAGAACAGGCCTTGGCCTATGGTAGCAGTTGTATCTCCATCCCCGGCCGATTTTCAAAGGAAGGCTGAACTGGCATTCATCAGGTGATGGATTGCATCAAATCCACCTCTGGAATCCATGACCTATTTTGCTTTCTCTTACGTGGCACTCAACAATAATAATGGGTGCTTAATGCTGCACATATATCATGGGTTTAACAACAACCCAAAGCTCCTGAATTAAATTTGTGCTTTGTTGACCTCTAATTAAGGATTAAGGTCATTCTTGAAAGAAAACATGGTGAAAAACAGTAGTTGGATCCAGATTGGGCCCCTTGGCAGCAGTTCAGTCTGACTCAGGGTTCATTCCCCCTCCCCCCAGTGATCATCCATGGGCATCTGTGGAACACTGCATGAAGCCTGACTTGTCCGTGATCATGGAATCATGGAATCTAGGCCATGTGGTCATAGCTACATATCAGGTCCATATCCATATTCTGGACCATTTAGTCAACTCGTGACCTAGAGGTGAAATGTTTGGCAAGATCAGATAATCTTTTTTTTGGGGGGGGGGGATTGACTTTACTTTTGACACTGGACTCCCCTCCCTTCTTGTATCTGAAATCTTGGTGAATTCTAAGGCAGGAACGTTAAGCAATAACTTATCAAGGTCAACATTTCTACACGTGTGTCAGTGTGGTATAGTAGTTAGACTAGGATCTGGAGTCGGGTTGCCAACTCCAGGTTGGGAAATCCCCTGAGATTTGGGGGTGGAGCTTGGGGAGGGTGCTGTCTGAGGAGGCCAAGTACCTCCGCCTGGTATAATGCCGCACAGTCCGCTCTCCCAAGCAGCCATTTTCTACAGGGGAACTGACCTCTATAATCGGGAGAGCAGGTATCATTCTGGGAGGTCTCTGGGCTCCACCTGGAGGTTGGCAGGTTTGAATTGCAAATAACGTTTTTTGAATTGTGACCACCAATTCTATTGTGTTTATCAATTTATTGTTACTGTGTTGCAGTAGACTGATGTCTACTGGTAACTTGTGAAAGTTGTGAATCCTTTGAGGGTCTACCCTTGCGGTTTATATTTTTGCATACTACTTACGCTTGGGGGTTCCTATTGTTTGGCATGGAAGACTACTGAGCAGGTGACCTTTGGCCAGTCATTCTCTCTCAGGGAGGTTGTGGTGAGGGGAAAATTGGAGGAAGGGAGAATGATAACGGAAGCCCCTTTGGGTCTCCATTTGGGGAGAAGTGTGGGATATAAATACCTAAATAAATAAATCTTTTTTAAAAGTTGGGAGTGTTGAATATTAAGCCACCACAAGGATATTTTATCAAAACAAGCTGGGTATATATGTATTTTAACGCTTGCATTAGTATATAAATGAGAGTTTTTCAAAAGCACGCTTGAGTTAGGAGAACTTGTAAAAACTCCTAGCATAAAAAAGAAAATGCATTTCTTTCTAAGGCAATTCTTATCCCCAGGGGTCCTTTCGTAGAAAAAGAAGTGCAGGAGCTCATTAGCATAACTCATTCGCATAACTCATGTGCATATGCCACACCCCCTGACATCACCCGAAGTGTGTCAGAAGGCAACACCCACCGCTCAGGCTCCACTGGACTGTTTTGGATTGCTAGCGATTGGGGGGGGGACATGCAGATCTGTCCTCGCAGAGGAGGGAGAGCTTGTACCTGAATAAAACTTGGTCTTAAAGGTGCCACTGGACTGTTTTGGATTGCTAGCTATGGGGGTACGGAAATAAGGAAACAGGGAAAGAAGGAGAGAAGGAAAGAAGGAAAGAAGGAGGGAAAGAAAGAAGGAAAAAAGGAGGAAAAGAAAGAAAGAGGGAGAGACGGAAATAAGGAGGGAAACAGGGAAAGAAGGAGAGAAGGAAAGAAGGAGGGAAAGAAAAAAGGAAAAAAGGAGGAAAAGAAAGAAAGAAAAAGAAGGAAAGAAATAGAAGGAAAGAAGGAGGCAAAGACGGAAAGAAAGAGGGAGAGAAGGAGCAGGGGTGGGGCTTGTTGCATGTGCCCGCCTTCTGGGCTCTTTACTGCCGGAGCTCCGCTCCTGTGCTCTCCTGCAGGAAATGACCCCTGCTTATCCCACTTATCCCCCACTGAGGCCCTAAATGGCTTACAACAATTCCAATACAATGTAACTCATCAGTTTAAACAAGCTACACCAGGGGTGTCGAACATGCGGCCTGGGTGCCGGATTAGGCCCCCGGAGGGCTTCTATCAGGCCTGCAGTGGAACTGGCTGTCTTCTGTTTCTTCTTTCAGTTCTGCTGCGTCATCATAGGTTTGCAGCTTACAGATACACAACTCAACAGCATACTCAAGATTGCAACAGCACAGACATTTTGATGCAATAATTCAGAACAAGAAGTGTCAGTTATCATACACTGTTAAATAAACAAAATATTGCAAGAGTGCTAATGTTTTAAGCATGTTTTCATTTTAAGTAAAAAAAAACCCTTTGTGTTTGTGTCCTTTATAAAGTTTATATCTCTGCTACTTGGCATTACATTTTATGAAACACATGGCCCGGCCCATGTGTTTATGTCATTTATGTCAGATCTGGCCCTCATAACAAATGAGTTTGACACTCCTGAGCTACACTATACATACACAAATGGGGGGAACCATTATGTTAAACATCATGCTCTGATGATGGACCTGCTGGGGTGGTCCATCAAGGCCATAGGCTGTGAGGCCACAAGCCCTTTGGCTCTTGTTTATTGGCTTGTACATCTGGCCACGCCCAGGCTTTAAGTACCTGCAAGAAGAAGGAAACAAAAGCTCAGGCTAGATCTTAAACACCTGCCAGCCATCTTCCCACAATCCCCTCTTCCCACAATCCCATTCTGATCACAGTCAGCCTATAAGCACCTGCACAAGAAGGGAGATTCATTCATTTCTCCTTCTCCACTCACTTAGATAATTAAATTTGACATTCTGAGCAAGAGAAAACTTCATTGGGAGGAAGAACATTGTTGGCCAGCAGAACCAGTCTTCGTACCTAGTCCTAACGCCAAAGAAGAAGATGACGGTAAGAGGCATGATCTTCCTGTTCATGAGGGTGGGGATGAAGATTTATGCTGCAGTCCTAGAAGTAAAACCCTGTAGCACCAAATGGATTTATTGTGGCAGGAACTATTGTGGACTAGAGCACACCTCAGCAAGATGCATGAAGTGTGACCTTAGTTGGAGGAAATGTAAATGATGGATATCAATAGGCCATCAAATGCTAAGCTCAAATTATACAAGTACAGTGATTGTTCACAACAGCTGTAATTGGTTAATAGCACACCAGTACCCCCTCCAGACTGAACAAAGTCTTTGTGTGTCTTTCTTGTTATTCCAGATGGGTAGGCACATTGGGGTTGGATCCAGACAGCTTTTCTGCTGGCGAAAAGGGAAGGCAGGGTCCCCAAAGATGACCCCAAAAAGCTATGCTGGTGGCCATGGGAGGGGTTGGGTGAGCTTCAGTGAAAAAGCTGGTTGGATCCAATCCGTTAGTATGTTGCAGCAAAAATTAACACCTTCGGAACTAACACCATTTTATTCCGTCTTAAGCCATCTTAAGCCTTAGTGGGCTAGAGGACACTTCCTCAGATGCAATGCGGGGACGACAAGAGGCCATAAAATGTGCTTATGTAAAATTGCAACCTAATCTGGAAAAAGATAGTGACTGGTCACTAATTATGCTAACCTAGTTAACCCACATAAACAGTGGAGAGTCACTGGTTTTGTTTAGATAGCCTCAACTGCTTAGAAAAATGAGAGATTCCACATCGTTAGCGGTTAGGGTATTTTTCCAGCCTTGGAAAAGATTTGTCAAGGTATCTTTTTAAACAGGAGATGTCAGAAACTGAACTCACAACATTTTGCATCAATGTGAATGCTCTGCCTTTTAGTTGTTGGTGATTGCAAGTGCCATCAAAAGGTCAAATTGCAGCCAACTTATCGTGACCCCATTGGGTTTTCAAGGCAAGAGACGAACAGAGGTGTTTTGCCACTGCCTGCCTCTGTACTGCAAAGGACTTCCTTGGTGGTCTCCCATCCAAATTCTAACTAGAGCCAATCCTGCTTAGTTTCCGAGATCTGATGAGCTCGGGCTAGCCTTCATTAATTTTGAATCCCACTCTTCCTACAATAAGCTGATCGGGAGTCACCTTATTTGAACTGTACAACTAGGATTGCAGCCCCCCAGTCCTGGCGGAGGTTCCCTCACTTTTGTGGGCCCCTTTCTGCTACCGGCTAGCTGGCCAGCAGGGGGAGCCTCTGCCCACAAATGCCCCTGAACGTGACATGACGACGTCACCCAGAAGTGATATCATCAGGTCACTGACGTTGTGTGGCGACGCTCTAGGTTTTTGGTTTTGTTTTGCAAAATATGGTAAAATTGGGTTCAAACTATAGAGTTTTGCCCAAAACTAGTGTTATCACATGTCATCGCTCAAACTGTAGAGTTTTGCCCCAAAACTAGTGTTGTCACATGTCATTGTCAGTATGATGATGTCACTTCTGGGTGATGTCATTGTGCCACGCATGCAAAGCACGCACAGGAGAAGACTCCCGGAGAAGGCATCGATCCCCTGCTGGCTGCCAGGTAGGACCTGACAACCCTATGTCCAACAACCCTGTAGAGTAGATGAGATGGAGTGAGTTCTGTGATTGAATGCAGGTTTGAATTTGCATTCAAGGGTAATGTTTTGTTCACCATACTGGCTAAATTTATCTCTACCATTCCAGCTGATATGAGAAATCCAATAATCACCTGCAGAATTCAGGTAACCAAAAACCACCACTGGATTTTAATGGGTGTCTTTGCAGAAATCATCCTTCTGTAACAGCCCTACACCTGGTTTGCATAATCAGCCCAAACACTCGACAGCTCAGCTCATTCAAGAACAAAGCAACACTACATTCAGCCCTAACAGAGAAAAACACATTATGGATCTTTCACGCAATCTGTAGGACTAGCTTATCATCAAAGGGCCCACCTTCAGTTGTTTAGCAAAGTTCTGGAGATGAAAGAGGTGTGGTTCTTCTCCCCCACTTTTAAATCTAAGCAAAAGGACTGACTTAGCAGATTCAACAGCATTTCAAGCTTTACCACCTCTGTTATTGTTCTTTATCTTTTTGGGGGAAAATATGTGTAGGAGAAAGTCCCATTGAACACAGCAGGGCTTGCTTCCAAGTAAACACACTGAGGATTGCGCTGCATGACTGCAATCCTGTGCAAACGTATTTGGGGATCAGTGCTGTTGAACACAGCGAGGATTACTTCCAAATAGGAAGTAAAGCATGGCTGTAATGCTATGCACTCTTCCCTGGGAACAAGTCCCTATTGAACTTGTGGCTGTTACTCTCAAGTAGCCAGTTTGGGAGAGTCAGTTTGGTGTAGTGGTTAAGTGAGCGGACTCTAATCTGGGAGAACCGGGTTTGATTCCCCACTCCTCCACTTGCACCTGCTGGATGACCTTGGGCAAGCCATAACTCTGGCACAGCTGTTCTTGAAAAAAAGATCAGTTTCCATCAGAGCTCTCTCAGCCCCACCTACCTCACAGGGTGTCTGTTGTGGGGAGGGGAAGGGAAAAGGAGTTTGTAAGCCGCTCTGAGACACCTTTGGGTAGTGAAGGGCGGGGTATAAATCCAATCTCCTCCTCCTCCTCCTCATCCTCCATACACCAACTTGGGCTATGCAGCTGTCAACTGATTACATTTTTAACTGATTAATATCTGCCTGTAAGCTGGTTCATTGGTTAATTCCTCAATTATATTTGACTAAATCTGGATCTTTAACGTAACAGCACTGGTCAAAGTTTGAATCCATGGGCACCTTTAAGACCCACAGAATTTTATTCAAGGTATAAGCTTTTGTGTGCAAGCATACTTCTTCAGATACCACAAGATTTTATTTGAGGTATAAGCTTAAATTTTGTTGGTCTTAAAGGTGCCACTGGACTCAAATTTTGTTCTGCTGCCTCAGACGAACACGGCGAACAGCACAGGTGCCTTTGTAAGATGTTGATGGAAGGGTCAGATAATTTCCAGTGTAATAAATCAACCTTTCTACTCTATATTAGAAAAAAGAAGTTAATCGTCTGTTTTATTCCCTAACAATTATTTGCACACTCTGTTTGGGCAAAGCCTGAAGTTTCTTGGAAATTTTGCAGGGATTTGTCAGGGGCGATACCAAGTAAGGCAAATAAATTCCCTTCAAAGACAGCTTGCCCATTATCCCCCTCTTAGAGCTCTCCGTCTCTGAGGCGCAGACAAGATGTATTCTAACCTACCCTCTCGGTTCACCTAGAGCGGTGGTCTTTCTAGGGTTGCCACGTCCCCTCACTACACTGGCGGGAGGATTGGGGTGTGTGTGTTCCGGGACATCATTGATGCGATTACATCACCCAGAAGTGGCGTCATCATGCAGTTACACTCTGATTTAAGGGCCAATTTTAGGTTTTAGGCCAAATTTACCAGAGAGTTTTGCCCAACATCCCCGACATGATCCCACTTTCAGGTGACATCATTGCATAGGGGATGTTGCACCCAGATGTGACTGTTTGGGGGCAGGGTTTCCCCAGCTCGCTCACTGGCTTGCAGTGGGCAGAAGCTCTGAAAATCAGGTTAACCCCTACTGGAACCTGAGGACTGGCAACCCTAGGTCTTTCAGATCTGGGACCCAGGGAGCTGCGAGGAGGAGGAGCAGGAGGAGGAGATTGGATTTATACCCCGCCCTTCACTTGGAGTCTCAGAGCGGCTTACAAACTCCTTCCCCTCCCCCTCCCCACAACAGACACCCTGTGAGGTGGGTGGGGCTGAGAGAACTCTGACAGAAACTGCTCTTTTTCAAGGACAGCTCTTATCAGAACTATGGCTTGCCCAAGGTCATCCAGCAGCTGCGAGTGGAGGGGTGGGGAATCAAACCCGGTTCTCCCAGATTAGAGTCCGCCCACTTAGCCACTACACCAAACTGGCAAGCATGTGATAGGAAGTCATGTGACATCAGAGCCACTATGACAGGAAGAGGAAGCCAGAATTGTGACCTCATCAGTCCCAAGGGCAGGACCATGAACTGGGGAGGGGGGGGCAGCAACTGCAAGCTGTGCTCTAGGAACACAACAGAGAGGAGCAAGTCATGAAGGAATCCTTTCCACCATTTACTGCGCCTCACCATGGCAGGCTGATGCTTTTCTCAGTATGTGTGCAAAGTGAAGCAGGAAACATTGTCCCCTTGCTTTCTGCACACGTGCTCTGGCAGGAGATCCTTCCAAAAATAGAAGCTTTATATGGGCTTGTGACACAGCCAGTGAGGCTCTGGTTGCCACCTGAGGGTCCTGAGCTAGGGTTACCACCAGGCAAACGCTGGTTCCATCGCTGTCTCTGGGCAGCCTGGGAGGGCATCAGTGGTAAATAAAACAGGATTAAATGATGTCTGCATTCATATATCATGTGAAACCATTGTTATGACTAACTATCGAGCTTCCATAGCAGAGTGAGGATTCGAACCTGGATCTCCGAGGTCCTAGTCTGATATTCTAACCACTACACCATGATGACTTTCAAACCCATGTTTAGTGAAGTGGCCTGGATTGTAAGCTGGGCAGCGTTGTTGCCTAAGAGAGTGCTGAGCTTGCGCTCCCATGTGTTTGTTTCTTCCTCCTGATAATACCAACGTGATGTGAGATGTTGACAGTGAATCTTTTGACACATGTCACTTTCCTTTGTTGATCCTCACTAACACATCTGTCAGCACTTTTGTGTCTCGCCCTTTCTCCAAGAATCCCAGGGCGGCGTCCACAGGTTTTCCCCATTTTTCTCCTCACAACTCTCTGATGTAAGTGAGGCTGAGAGAGAACAACAAACAATTCATTGTGTCTGTACTCTAACAAACAGATGGATTGCAGCCTTGGTTTTGGTGGACCAAAACCCACTTCATCAGACGCATGAAGGGTTGGCTTCCTTTGGCAGAGTTATACATATGCTAGGTGTCGATCCCTGTGCAGATGGAGAAATGTACACAACAGAACCTGCCATGAATGGGAGAAGAGGGTTCTGTGTATGACCCAGCTGTGTGAGAAAATGCCACTTGCCCCCTTTAATGTCCAGACTGGGGCCAAAAAACATCAAAAGGAGTTTCTGCTCTCTGCATATGCACCTGGGATACACTGTAGACTGTTAAGCTTGGAAAGGCACCAAAATAACTTCAAACTACCCCTGTGGAATAACAATAAATAATAATGATAATGATAATAAATGATAACTGTTGTTTATATAGTACTAGCAATGAAAATCTAGGTATTGTGCTATGATTACATTTAAAAGGACAAGCCTTCAGGTGTGCAGTTAAAAAAGGGAATATCATAAAAAGTCTGGGATTAATATGGAACTTCTGAGTGTGCCTTCATGAATATTAACTCATTAATTTTTACAACCCTGTACTTTTGGCCAATATTGTCATCACCACATAACAAATGGGAGCAGGGCTGGGAAATAGGCCTGCCAGATCTCGCCAAATCGTGGAGGGGGATCTGCATGTTTTCACAGAATCCTTGCCGCGAGACGGCGAGACGCGTTGCACCGCCGTCACCAGGACATGACGCTATGCGTCACTCTGGCAACGGGGCTGTTTGGAGCCCCGTTGCCAGAATGATGCGTAGTGTCAGATCCTGGCGACGGCGGGTGCAACGCGTCTCGCTGTCCCCGCGGCAAGGATTCTGTGAAGACCTACGACCCCCCGCCGTGACTTGGCAACCCTACTGGGAAACCAGTGTCTTGTCCTAGGCCACCTTGCATGCTCACTGCAGAGGTGGGGAACTCATGCTCTTAACCTGCACCAGATCTTGCTCAGTTCTACCACATTGGATGTGACAGTGGTAGGGTTGCCACCCTCCAGGTGGGGCCTGGGGATCTCCTGCTTTTACAACTGATCTCCAGCTGACAAAGATCAGCTCCCCTGGAGAAGATGGCTGCTTTGAAGGGTGGACTCTATGGCATTGTACCATGCTGAGGCCCCTCCCCTCCCCAAACCCCACCCTCTCCTGGATCCACCCCCAAAGTCTCCAGGTATTTTCCAGCCCAGACCTGGCAACCCTAGACAGTGGAGCAAGCTTTGGCTTTTGCGGAAATATTAAAAAGCATACAGGAACCTTTTTTTAAGGCTGCCTCCTCCAAGCAACTTGGCGCGTTATTCATGGTTCTTTTCAACCTTGCAGTATAGATGAGGCTTACTCAGTTACCCTAAGCCATGCATCTTCCCGAAGATTGTTTTAGTAGCCCATAGGGCAGAGGTGTCGAACTCATTTGTTACGAGGGCCAGGTCTGACATAAATGTCACTTTGTCAGGCTGGGCCATGTGTGCCATAAATCAATGCCAGGTACCAGAGCTATAAACTGTGTAAGCTCTGAGTTGTTGTATCCTCACTGCAAGACCATGCTTCTTCTGCCATGCTGAAGCCACAATCGGAGTGGCTCCACCCACTCCCCTTCTGAGCAGTCTCCTGTTCCCTCCCTTGCACTAGTCGCTCGAGGGCCGCATAAGAGCCCTGGATGGGCCGGTTCTGGCCCCCGGGCCTTATGTTTGACACCCCTGCTGTAGGGTATATTGTTCACACTAACATGATGCTACCCCGCCCCCACCATAGTGCATTCTGCAGGTAATGTATTGTCAAGGTACTGAGGCTGGCTTGAGGCCTAGCACCAAGTGCTACATGTAAAATAAAATGCATACTCTGCTCACTTCCAGAATTCCATTCTAGTGTATCTTCCATTGCCACTTTAGGTATTATCCTATCAACCATTGTGACAACACAACCACAGAAGCCACCTTTCCTGCTCATCCTGGATGCTAAAACCTTCAAGGAAAGAGCTCGGGCGACGGTGAACGTAGAACTGCACCTGGATTTACATGGAATCTTCATCCCTGAGAAGGATTTGAAAACAGAGCAGGAGACTGAGGTGGAAGGAGGACATGAATCAAAGGGATGTCCATCTAATAAAACAAACAACATCCCTGAAACCAGCCTCCTTGCTAAACAACAGATGGAAGGCTTGTAATGATTCAGATCTTGGGACTTTTGCCTGTGCTGTTGGGGTAACTGAGTTTACGGCATTATGCTGGCATAATGATCAATATGTTGCACCTTAAGTATGTATTGTTTGGGACAGCTAGTGGTTCAAACTAGGGATAACATTTCTGGGTTGTGGAATTCCTGGAGACTTGTGGGTGGAGCCTGAGGAGGGAAGAATTTGGGGAAGGGAGAGACCACAGTGTCAGGGCTGTATGATCCATAAAGCTGACCAGGCTGAAGCATCAATTTTTTTTTGTGCTGAGGCATTGTTATTTTCTTTTCATAGACAGCCTATAATATATAACCTCTATTAATAAGATAATTAACTGCTTCTTTATTGCAGTGAAACAAATTGCCTCATATTAAAACAATTATCCATAAATTTTATATTTTAATAGATCATAAAAATTTTATTCACTTAAAAATATTACGATATTGAACAATTATACCCCCAAAATATGCTTTCCTGAAGAGTTCTACTCATGCAATAAAAATATTTTATTTTATTACTTTTATAGTTACCTCCCTACTATTCAAGTCAGGATTGTCTTCAAACAAAACTAATATAACACCTATAATTAAATTTACTTTGGGAAAGTACTAGAATCAATATATTCTCCATTCATTTCTTAAATATTTTCCATTCATAAATTTCCATTATATTTTGTCACTATACATACTCACTTTTCTCTACAAATATATATCCATTCATATACCTAATTATTTCCTTCAACATTAAAATGATTTTAGCACTTTACTACCTCCTATAGCTCTACTATCTCTTTTTACCAAAGAATTTTTTATCAAAGAATTAAAAAACAAAAAAAAGAAAAAAGAAAAATTAATGAACATTTTTACATTACTCAGATCAATTCATACCAATTTACTCACTCTCTAAAAGAAAACTGAGGACTTCCGGTCGGCATGGCGTGGCGACGGGCAGCGCTTGGAACGCTCTGAGACACTCGATTCCTTTCTGCTTCTTTTGGGGAGTGACTGGCAACGCGGGGGAAGGGTGTCCACTTCCTGCCCCGAAGCAGGAGCGGTTTGTGCAGGGGAGGACCATAGCATGTCCCCACAGCCACTGCCTCCCATTTTTTAATTTATATTTGAACTCGTATGGATTACAAATACAACAACAAAGCAACATAGAAGGAAATTTCAAATTAAAGAACTGTGAGTACATACATCTTTAAGTTTCAAGAAGAAGGTTTGCAAAATACCGAGAATTGAATGTGTAAAATGAAAAAACAAAGTGGGTAGGAATGGAGAGAGAAGGAGTTAAGCGCGGAGTGCTATTTTTTTTCCTCGGGGCAACATTCGTAGTTCTCCTTGGACAGAATTTATAGTTGATACTGAGAGGGGCTGAGATTCCAATTGAATGCTATTTAGTTCTGAAACTTGAATGAGTTTGTGTGAACAGAATGATTAAAATGGCGCTCGCAAGGGGAACTGATATGGAGGAGGAAATGGACGAAAATATGTTGGTGGGAGTCTGGAGAAATGTCGGTGGAACAATTTCTAAAGGTCTTAAAGGAGGGAATACAAAAGGGTATTGAACAAGCATTTGCAAACTTACACGACTCCCCTATGGAGATAGAGAGATCTGAAAATTTGGGAAAATGTGTACAGAGCCCAGAGAAGATTTTCGTCTGTCAGCAAGAAAAGGAAGGTACAGAGCTGTTATGTTTACCGACCCCAAGGCGAAATAAGAAGACAACTAAAATGAGCTGCGGTGGCTCAAGTGGTTAAGACGCTGAACTGCAGGCTGTGGAAGGTCAGTAGTTCAGCGGTTCAAGACCCGGGTGCCGCAAGACAAGGTGAGCTCCTGTCTCTAGTTCCAGCTCCTGCCAACCTAGCAGTTCGAAAGCAAGAAATTGCAAGTAGATAAATAGGGACCACTTCGGTGGGAAGGTAACAGCGTTCCATGCACCTTGGTGTTTAGTCATGCCGGCCACATGACCACGGAAACGTCTTCGGACAGCGCTGGCTCTTCGGCTTTGAAACGGAGATGAGCACCGCAACCCTAGAGTCGGATTCGACTGGCTTTCGAGCAAGGGAACCTTTACCTTTACCTTTACCTAAAATGAACTATTTGAAGAGGGGAAAGATAAAAAGAAAGGTACAAAGATTTTTTCCCAAAAAGAAGAAAAATTGGAAAAGGGAAAGACAAGAATGATGTGTGTGGAAGGCTAAAAAGGACAAAATAGTATTGAGGCATAATTTTCTGAAAACCATTGAGGAGAGATTGAAAATGAACTATCACTCTTGCAAAGGGCAAAATCACATAGACATGTTACTATGAAAAAAGAAGTTACAGATTCATAGAAGGCAAATCAAATTATATGAAAATGTCTATGTATTTTTTTTTCTTGCCTGTTGAAAGTGTGTAAAATGGATTGAATAGACCAGAGTAACTGGCTGTTTGTTTATAGAATATAGTGATAAGTGTCAGCGGACATAAATTGAAGGGTGGTGGTAAAAGGGAGATAGCAGAGCTATAGAAGGTAATTAAATTGGATGGTAGAGGGTTAAGTTAATAATAATTAAATTTTGGACTGGATAATTATGTTTGCAAAAGTGGATAAACTAGGTAGGATCAAGATATATTTAAAAGGAAAAGGAGAAGGTATTAATGTTTATGTACATTTTTTCTTTTTGAGAGTGAGTAAATTGGAATGAATTGATTCGAAAGCAAGAAATTGCAAGTGGATAAATAAATAAATAGGTGACATCATCACGCTAGCAGTTCGAAAGCAAGAAATTGCAAGTGGATAAATAAATAAATAGGTGACATCATCACGCTAGCAGTTCGAAAGCAAGAAATTGCAAGTGGATAAATAAATAAATAGGTGACATCATCACGCTAGCAGTTCGAAAGCAAGAAATTGCAAGTGGATAAATAAATAAATAGGTGACATCATCACGCTGGCCACGTTGTGGGGGGAACACTTTGTGAATCGAGGGAAGACTCTATGGTTTTCCCTCGAGTCATGGTGCCCCGCCCCCAACATGGGCAACGCGATGACATCACTTCCGGTGACGTCATCGTGGCACACGCAAAGCACGCGCGCGGGGAGACTCCCGACGGAGCCAGGAATCTCCCCCCCCCCACTTTGCAGGTAAGTCAACTTGGCAACCCTAGGCCTACCCAGGAAGGGGAACACTGGCTGGGGAAGGGAAGACCGATCGGGGAAGCATGCCTCCCCTTCACTTCCCCAGCCGTATTTCCAGGAGCTGCATAATATGTATAAAAGAGCCGCATGTGGCTCCCGAGCCACAGTTTGGCCACCTACCATGCCAGGGTCAGGCTGTCAGCTGTAGTGGGGTGAAAGACCGACGTGCCGGAGGGCCCCCAAAATACCTGAAAGCTTAGGGACCTGGCCATGGGTTCATACAGCCCTGCCCAGTGTGGCATCATGCTATAGATTCCACCTTCCACAGCAGCCCTTTTCTCCAGTTCTCTGATGTCTGGAGATCAGCTGTAGCTGGGGAACATCCCCAGACCCTACCTGGAGGCTGGCAACCCTAATTCAAACTGTTATTAAAGAGGCAGGTGTGCAGGGGCCAGTTCAAGCGCCACTAATCCTATTCCACCAGTGGTGGTACTGCCTCGTTTGCTAGTTTCTGTGAATGATGCCTTAAGTCACTTCAAAGCCACACGAGAATTATAATTCACAGTGGCTTCCAAAAATTGGGGCTTCTTCTTTTAAAAACACGCATCTTCCCGCAAGAAGCCCTACTACCGCAAAAAGGAATTGTTGGCCACATCCTAGCATTAGTAGCCCAGTTTTGAATGCTTCTCTTTACCCTTAACAGACAGTGCAGTGTATCTGCAGGGTGTTTCTCTGCAATGAACTCATAGCTCGTGACTATGAGCAGTTCAAGCAAGTGTATTTACAGCATGGCCGGTGGTGTGAGTCACACTTTTATGTAATCCTCCATTGATTGTGTTCTTTAAGATGTGCATCATAATAATAGGGGCGGGGAAAGAAAACCTCTCTGTAATTTGATTTTTTTTATCAGGGAATGCTGGCCTTTAACTGTAACACACTTTGAGATATTACCTGGCTACTTCATTTCCCAAGTCTGATGAAGACCAAACTGAAATGCCAAATTCGATTGTTTGGGTCCCCCCCCCCTTTTTGTTGTTATGAATCACTATGTGGCCTTTAAAAGGAAGGCAAGGTTTCCCTCCCTTTTTAGATGGAAGAAATCCAACTTCCTTTCATATTCAATGTGGTTTTATATAATCCTAAATTAAGTTTAATCATTATTTAAAATAAGCTTTCCTCCTTTAAATCCTTCAATTCTCCTTGTTTTTGTTCCTTGGGAACATCAGATAGGATGGCATTAGCTTTATAGTCTCATAAATAAACAGGGTTTCATTGGTTTGCCAAAAGTGAGATTGGTATCTTGTTTATTTAGTTTAGTTACCTGCTGGTTGAAGGGAAATAGCCAAGTTACCTTTAACTTCTACAGCTAGAGAACATAACAATTAGCAGTGGGGATATGAGAGGAAGTCATTTGACATGCCGTAGACAGCAAGGCGGTAGCTTTTTACCATATAGTGTTCCTTAAGGTAATTCAAACGAAAAGAAAAAAAGAAATAACTATAGCCTTGGTCGAACAACACATATCATTCGTATGCCTGGAGCAAAAGAAAGAGCGAGAGATACTTTGAGATCAACTGGCTCGCCCTTTATCCTCCTTCCTAGACATTGGGGGGAGGGGGGGTCACAGATCAGCTTTTATGCTGCTGTATCTTAAACCTATTGGAGCTGCGGTGGCTCAAGTGATTAAGACGCTGAACTGCAGGCTGTGGAAGGTCGGTAGTTCAGCAGTTCAAGTCCCGAGTTGCCGCATGACGGAGTGAGCTCCCGTCTCTAGTTCCAGCTCCTGCCAACCTAGCAGTTCGAAAGCAAGAAATTGCAAGTAGATAGATAGGTACCACTTCGGTGGGAAGGTAACAGCGTTCCGTGTGCCTTGGTGTTTAGTCATGCCAGCCACATGACCACGGAAACGTCTTCGGACAGCGCTGGCTCTTCGGCTTTGAAATGGAGGTGAGCACCGCAACCCTAGAGTCGGATCCGACTGGCTTTCGAGCAAGGGAACCTTTACCTTTACCTATCTTAAACCTATCCATAG